TTTTCGGCCCGGTTCCGAACCAAAAACGAGCAGGAAGTCAGTGTTCAGCCGGAAGTCTAAGATTTTCCTGTTAGCAGTTCAGTCTACATGCATTTGTAGGGACCGACACGAATTTTCCGAGTTTTCATGTGTCAGCGTGTCTACCGTGCACACCTACAGCATCGGTTCGTTCACAGCCTGGATTGGATGGGTACGCTACCTTTTTGCCGTAGACGCAAGTAAGTGCACGTACGTGTGTGTGTGTATAGATAGTTTCGGCGCACTACATGTAGTTGGGACTAAAACGGCCCTAATAACCTCACAGAAAAACTACCCTGCCTTTCTTAACTGCTAAGTTGTTAAGTGCGAGCGCCATCTATCTGTTGGGTGGCTCAAAGAACCTAGCCAACCCGTGAGAACCTGTAAGGACAGCAGCCAGAGCCAACACATGATCCCGGTTTGGCAGTAGTACGCAGGGAGTGTTCGGTGCTGTTCGAAGGTTAGGGTTGTTGGTAATTGTGCATCATGTGTGTGTGTTGTGTTTTCGTCCTATTTATTTTGGCGACAGTCCCCGATTTTCGTGGTGAGACGTGTACTACACTTCATTCAGCGTACGTCGAGTACTACACTTTTCAGTGTATTTTATCGTACAACTACAACAACCATCTCATTTTTATTATAATTCTTAGATGCTCGTGAACCTTTACCTAAAAGACTTACAATTTGATTTGATTTTTTAGACCTTTTTGACATTCGTTTACCTTTAACACAACTTGTATATACATGGTAGGTACCAAAGAACCAATCAGTCAGATAGAAAAGGAGATTCAATATTTAAGTTAAACAAATACGATATTTTACTCATAGTATAACTTCCAACACCCACAAGTAACAAACATTTTCTATGAACCTCGAATTAGTTTTCTTTTCTACACTTACTAAAAGCGCTAAATCATCCAGGGTCACACAGGAGGGGGTTAAACACCAGGGCTTGTTTCTTCTTTTCATTTCTTTTCATGCCCCACCTTCCTCCTGCGGTGCGTTGTTGTTGTTGACTTCACATTAAACCGTATGCCAGTTGCTAAATGCCAAAATCTAGCAAAGACTCTCAGCCCGTGGTCACGAAAGTGCTAGAGCCATCTGAGGATCTAAAGAACACGCACACGTAGCAAGAAAAAGGTATCCAAGAGCCCGAAGAGGTACTACTACACCTATATATAATCCCTGCAGCACCGTACGCGTGCCCAAAACTGAACTACACGTCCGTCTCACCGTTCGACTACAG